TACTATAGCCACAAGCTAGTTTATTCTTGTATAAAAGCACTTCCTCTTATGAATTATAACCTAAAACCTTTTCTTTCAAAGATAGAAGCACAATGATAAGGTAGACGATGCCTTGTATGTAGAAATAACCTCTTTCTCATTTTTCTACTACGATGATTCAAAGAAACGACAAAACAACAAAGAAGCTGATGTAAGGCTGTTGTCCTACACCACAAAATACTGTTAAAAATAACACTTTCAGTATGTGTTGTGTCATTTTTCTTAATATATTTGTGATCTACACCACACCTTTTTTAGAGTAAATAAAAACTATTTTGCGTAAATAAGCACCAATGTGACTTTGGAGTCTCATTTCTACAAGTGATGATGATGATGGTGATTGGGGGTGCTCATTGTCTTTTTATGCTTTTTGTTATCAACCCTTATCATCCTCTCTCCTCTGGTTTATTCTCAAAGCTGATTATTTGCTGAAGGTTCGCTGCAAAAATTTAAACCCAGAGAAGCCGAAGCATGGCAGAGTGTAACTGGCATCTTGGTCCTTTTCTCCTCCAACCTGATCTGCATCAGCAGCTGCTTTATTCCTTCATTGCTGCTGTAGCTTTGTTCATTAACCATAGGCTGAGTCGAACCTGGTAGTACTTTTCCGAGTCTTGATTACTATTGGTTTAATTTTTCAGGACTAGTTTTGATGAAAAACCTGAATCCGAAATCCCATTATGCAGCTGATTCATGTTCTTCTTCTTCTTCTTTGTTTTAGCTAGGGCTCCTGTCTCTTTTGTTCTCTTTGTTCTGTTATTTGAGTAACTGTATTTCTATCAACAAAAGCTTGTTGAAGGGCAGCAGTGCTTTAGCATCTCACATGTTTCTGTGGAACCAGCTCCTGGTTTGGATTCAGGAGACGGACACCCTCTCTAATTTTTAGATTAGGGTTAAAAGCACATAGTTAGGGCTGGATCAGGTGAGCCTGAATCCTCCCTTTGTTGTGCTGACATAGGCTTAGCTTTTCAGGACTTCCCCAGCAGATCGTAGCAGATGGCCATCCCTCCCCGAGCCTGGTTGTGCCTGAGGTTTCTTCCTGTTAAAAGGGAGTTTTCCCTACCCACTGTCACCTTTGAGTGCTTGCTTAAAGGGGGTTATTTGATTGTTGGTGTTTTTCTATTATTGTAGTGTCTTTACCTTTTTAATATAAAATGCCTTGAGGTGGCTCTTGTTGTGATTTGGTGCTATATAAATAAAATTGAAATGTTGGGTTTCTTTGAGCCATGAATTTAGGCACCTAAATAATGATGGAGGGGAGGAATATAATTTATTTATTTTCTGGTGCTTCCTTTGTTTAGAACTGTCCCTCTGAGGCTTTTTTGGGACCTGAAATGGCCTGTTAGGAACAATATAATGAACAAGATAACACTGGGCATTTTGTTTCACTTTCTAAGGCTTGGTCAGCCGTCATGTTTGCACGTTATGTGTTTGGTCAGACTTCTCCAACCTTTTGCATGCAAATGGTGCAGTGAGGAAATTCATCAGAAATCTTTCAGTCATGCGTATTGATGAGGCACCATTTCAGCCGCACGCAGTTATTTATAGCCACAGTTTTTGCTTTTGGGCCTGTAAAAAAAAAGTATTCCCCCTTTAAATATTCGTCTCACGCTGTGTGTCTGAATGTTTTGACATCTCACTCTGAGTTGTTTTGCCTTCGAGACAGATTAGTGGGCCAGTGATTTGAAAACAAGCACAGTGACCCCAGTAAATAAGTTCAAGTAGTTTTGATGAAATCTGTTTGATTACAGTCATTCTTCTATGCTGCCTGTTTGTTTGTTTTTTATGAATACCTCCTCAGACACTGTCGTATCAGAAACAGCTTTGTTTGGCACAAATTCATCAGGACAATGCCCTCTCCTACTGTTCACAGCCGCGAACGTTTCCTCTTTATCACAGCAAAATGTCACGAACTGAGATCTCAGATTTATTTCGGATGGGGTCTTTACTCAGTCAACCAAAGACTAACTAGCTAATTAGATCTCAGGCTACCTGCTGTGTTTGCCTTTGAGGAAGGCAGTGGTATAATAACATGGAGTGGGCACAGATTTTGGGGGTGATAAAGCTTGAGCAAGTGTGCAGCTGCATATCTGAATGCCTCCCTGTAATGATGCGTGTACATGCGAGGTTGGGAGAATGTATTAGACATTCTGTGTGTGAGCTTTAAAAAAATAAAGGATGTTTTTTTTAATGGGTTTGTGTGTGCGAAATAAAACCAAAAACAAAATGTGGTTTGTGTTGAATGTGTTTGCAATAAGATGCTTTATTACCTACTCAGGTGTTCAATCACAGCTGATAGGTTTAAGGGAAGAGAGACCCGTTCCCATTGTTTTCTGTCATACAGTGAAAGCTTGACGGAGCTACAATGGCCTAATTTTCTGCTTAACTTTGTAAATTATAACAAGTTCCGCTTTAGTGCTATACCAGTCAGAAAAACAAACAAAAACAAAACAAGGCTTATGTCGCAAATGCAATAAATTTTCAGTCTTTCTTTTAAATGCGTTTCTTAATATATCATTTTAATCTTGTAGAGAACCCAAACATATTCTGCGAGCAGACTTTGGTTCAAGTTGAATGATTTTAGTCAGTGGCAGGGTTGGGGTTTCTTTGCCAAGCCCAAATAAACTCACCTGTACAGCTCAGAATCGGTTCAAATTAATGCATTCTCATTCGCGCACACTCCTCAGACTGCAGAAGCCAGTGATCAAGCCACTGACCTGCTAATTCATTGACCACCAGATGTACCTCGTAAGCCACTGCCATCGTGCACACATGTGGCACAGTGGTGCAGTGATTAGCGAACAAAAACGCATATGAGGCTAAACTGGCAATTCTTAATTAGTCATAGGTGTGAGTGTGAATGTCCTTTCTGTCTCTCTGTGACAGACTGGCAACCTGTCTGGATGCATAGACGGGTGCCGCATTCTCAAGGCACGAGTCTCAATATTAGAAGCAGGTGTATGCCTTATACTGTCATCACTGCCACCCTGCTGCAACTGACTGAAGCATCCTGATGTCAGGCTGAGCATGCATGACGTCCTTTTTCTGATCCCTTGCATGACCATCTGACTGTTCTTGGTGGAAGTGACTTGACAGAGCTATCGAGATGAAGTTCTCTAACCTGTACAACAACACGGCCTGTGGCAGTTTGAGTGTCGCCTCCACATTGCCAGAGATCATTAGCATATCCAGACACTTCCTTGGCCAGCATTTAGTGTTGATATCTCTCCCACTGAATATGCCTGGGTAATCTTAGGCTGGCATGTTCATTAGAGGCAACCAGAACCCATTGCAGCTGGATGCTGCATTTATCTGTGAATGGAAAGAAATTGCTCAACAACAGATCTGCAGTCTATGCTCAGACAGGTGACTGCTTGCACCTGTCTGAGGTAATACTGTCAAGCACCGTCATTATAACAGTCTTGTACTATACATACAGTGTATATATGTGTTTTGTTTGTTTGTTTTTTACTGCTATTGTACATCAGTAAAGTGCAGGAGCCCATTTTTCCAACTAGATAAAAGTCTAATACAACCCAAGAAAACAGTTTAGCCATGAATCACACTTTGTAATATCTGTGTTTGGCACTGTCATGTATTTTTAGACTCATATGTTTAATAACAAATATTTTGGCTTGTGTAGTAAGGACAGTACAGGGGGTATAATGAAGTGTCCACAAAGAATTGTGCCAATGACCTAGCATGCATAAAAACAGGACCATCACTAATACACAATACTTTGACTCTGTTATTGTTACAGTATTGTTTATTAAAATGTGGGTAGAAACTGATGGTTACAAATGTTTATTTGTGTGTTTGTAGTTTCCTGGGGAGATAAACTGGACTGCATTTTTGTTGGGAACTGTTATTTCAACATAACGGAGTCCAGTACAGCACATCCCCAACAACTGGAACCTCAGTAATAACAGAGCCAACACACGAAACAATAAAATGCAGAAAAATCATAAAAAACGGCCAAATCAAATCAAAACAAAGCTTTTATGCAATGAAAGGTTCATTAAAACAATGTAAATATACATTTCAAAACAATTCTATGGGGCAACAGTTGTCAAGTCATGATGATGTCATAGGCTCCATTCCCCAAATTCCACAGTTAGGTTTGATTTTGTGATCTGAACACTTCAAGACAAACGTCAGACAAAAAAACTAAGAAAAACAGTCACAAAACTCAAGATGAGTGAAGAAGGCCAGCCGCCATACAAGTCGAGCTCAGTGTATAATGAACTCCGTTTGGAGGGACAATTTTGTGATGCAATCATCAAAGTGGAGGATGTTGAATTTCCGGTCCACAGGATCATCCTGTGTAACTGTACACCGTACTTCAGGTGAGTACCTTACCTGATAATGTGAAGGACAGTTGATGGATTTATACCTGTGAAAAATGTAATTCATGGTCTTAGTCGGTGACACAGTGCCAACAAAAAGGAACGGGTTGAATCATAAAACTTTTGTGATAGAAAGACTTTGTCACGGTCAACTGACAGATACACCCAAAACATAATGCAAACATTTGCAGATTTCATCTTTACCTTCACAGAGCTCCAGATTCCACTTCAGTAAATGTGCCATTTTAAAAGCACTGTGAATCACTTGGTGATTGTGTAAAGTCTAATTGAAGTGTTTTATTAAGTTACATTAATATCTTCCCCACTGTTATTTAGAAAGTAAGACACACCAGACTTCCTGATACTAAAAAGGTTGAACTTTGTTATACAGTTATACGCTGAGCAAAGGTTTTGAGTTGCCTCTCATTTGTTTATATTTTGCTTTGAAACAGATGAATTTTTTAAAAGTCCAGTTGAGCAATAGTTCTCAAAGTGTTTTTTTGAAGACTTGTAAAGGTTTTGTTTGGACATTTTTCACCCTTTTTAGTCCAGTGCTTGTACCCGATCATTTTCAGAGGAATGGTTTTGTTTTTGTTCATTTGTTTATTTGTTTGTTAAGCCATTTAACGCTGATATATGAATCATTCAAGCATAAAAAGGACACTAAAACTCAAAGGATGAACCATTATTGTTTCTACACATAACGCATACTTAGTGAAGAACCAATTTTAAAGACAAAACAAGGAGTAGCACGCATTAAAAAAAAGTAATGGTCTACAGCAAATGAACAGTATCTGAAAGTCATGTCCTTAAGAAAAAAGAAAATGCAGCAAATTCATGACACAAGACCATTTAATCCATCTACTTATCATGAAACCTAATCAGAAATGGTTATGGAAGGGAAACAGAGACTGTAATTAAGCAACATGCACTGGAACGTCCATAAGGAAAGGAAACAGACTGAGGTATGCCAAATTACACAATAACTAGACTAAAGATCAGGGCAAACTGGCCTTATGCAGTTGATTTCAATATTTGTCATAGAGGTACAACAGTGAGTGTTTAGAGTTAACTTTAAAACACGGTGGAGGCTCTGTCATGGTGTGGGACTGCATTGTGTTTGGCAATAGCTTCATAAACATGGTGCCGATGTAATAAAGACATTGAAAACCCAACAATCAAGCGCACTAAACATGTACAAACTCGGTTCTGGAGTTATATACTCTATGGCAATATGGACTAGACATTACAAGACTATCACAGTAATCACATAGTAACACATGTAATTAGGCAATCATTTCCATTCCTGTCAACAGATTTTATATATTTATCCTACTTGTGCATGACATAGTTTATTATCTTGTTACCTCCACACCTTTTAATATTCTCTACTCTGTCTCCATCTCTACCCTCAGGGCTCTTTTCACCCACTGCAGCAACCCAGACAAACAGGTCTTCAACATACCTGGCTTGTCTCCTGAGATGATGGCACTCATCATTGACTTTGCATACACCGGCTCAGTTTCCATAACGGGGGAAAATGTAGTGGAACTTCTCATGGCAGCTGATCAACTCAATGCAATGGACATTGTGAAACTCTGCTCTGACTTCCTCGGGGAGCAACTGTGCCCAGAGAACTGCGTTGGCATTTGGCAGTTCACAAAAATATGCTTATCACCCGAACTACGCGCCAAGGCCTACCACTACATCATCAATAACTTTGAGAAGGTTGTTCTTGAGGAGGAGTTCCTGCAGCTAACCGTGGAGGAACTTGCTGACATCTTTGATAGAGAGGACCTCAATGTGCAGTTGGAGACCACTGTGTATGAAGCACTTACAAAGTGGATTAGCCATGTACCTGCAGAACGGGAACAACACCTCACCGCTCTGTTGTCCAAGGTCTATAAACTTTCATTACTACATTTAGTTTGGACTTAAATCTTCAGCATTTAAGTCATAAATTGAGTCGATCCATCTGGGTATAAGGATGCTTTAATATCTTGAGATGTTGCTCTTTTCAGCTGTAGCCAAACCACATTTAAGAAATTCTCTTCAAGAGCATTACAACCGTATCAGATCTCTACACACATACTATAGAATAAATTATATTTATTAAGTATAGTTGCTATGGCTATGACTAAAAACTATCCCTGTTGACAAAAAGGCTAATGGTGTCTGACTTTGGTCGCTCTCTTGCTAGCAATAAGAAAATGAAACAACATTAGGAGCATTATCCTAAAGAAGCTTGAGTTTACTAAAACTGATGTAGTTGAAATTCATAGTCATATTCTCTTCTGTCATCTCTCTGTAGGTCCGACTGGGAGTGATGACTGCAGACTACCTAACGGACAATGTGCTGTCTAGTGAGCTGGTGGAGGCCAATTCTGAGTGCATGTCCATGATACGTAATGCCATCTTTGACATACATGATCTAGGAAGCAGACCCTTCATGTCTGGCTTGTGTCACCCTCTTGCTCGTCCCCGCCTGCCTCATTCCATCCTGCTGGCCATTGGGGGGTGGAGTGGTGGTGATCCAACTAACGGCATCGAGGCCTACGATTACCGGGCTAACCGCTGGGTCAACGTAACGAACAACC